CCAAGCTTAAGAAAGAAAAAAACCCTTAAATGGAGATCAAAAACAATCCAATCAATCCAATCAAGCATTATAAAAAAAGAAGGAACATTTTAATCCATAGCTGTAAGCGAAAGTGAAAAAAGAAAAAAATAATCCATTCAGTTTAAAAAATAGGGAACCTTTGCAAAACTTCCATCCATAAAAAAAATTAGAAACAGGATAACATACTAATTTTAATGTAGATTAATTTTGCCGCTTACAGTCTTCTATCTTCAATTTTAATTTAACTCTCACCAATTTGACACACTTTCTCTTTTCGCTTTCTTCCCGTTCCGGAGCTATCCCAACTTCAGCAGCTTCATTATCTGCGTTTCTGTTGCCGGGGAAAAAAAGGCAATTCCTGGATCTTTCAGGGACTTTGTGGTGTCCCTGAGATCAGCAGGAGGTGCCCTTCTCAATCACCATCTCTGTGGGATGGTTTAGGTCTGAATGGACCGTCCAGTGGCAGAAATATCGACTGTGATCTCGGAGCACCAAGATCGCACGTCGAGCCGTCGCAACGTCAGCCCCTTTTTTTCTGCCTCCCGTAGTCTTAAACCAAACTTAAAACTCTTTTTTCTCTGGTGAATCAGGTCACTATCTCGGGAGAAAAATGTCTGGCATGTTTTAAGATCTCAAGGCAATGATATTTTTAAAATCTCAACAGCATATGCCCCTTTGGAAGTTCAAATGAGTCTCTGTTTCCTTATAGTTGGAGATGTGGTCAACGTAAAGAAAAAACCCATCATTTGTGTTATGTTTACATGGAATTGGTTTCTGTTTTTAAAAAGGGCCCTTTTTCTTGTTTTTCAGAAAATCTATACTTGGAATCTCCTTTGGAACTGCCTTTCTGGTACTCTCCTTCATTCTTTTCATCTGTTTTGCAGGACAACTTTTGGTAAGTGTTCAATGCATACTGACTGCATAAGGCAAAATCTGTCAGCATAAATAATTGGGCCCAAACACTTAATTACCTCTTCAAGACTGCTTTCTCTGACCAAACAGCAAATTATCTCTCTCAGGTACTTAATTAAGAAAGGAGATATTAGATGACTTACTTTCTTGCTGTTAATTTATTTACATTTTATTTAGTTTTCTGAAATGCATTTCGTTATACAGAGATATTGCCACACAACAATGAAAATGAAAGAAATACAAATTGTAACTTGCTTTATCTAATTTATTTCATGACATATTATATCCTAAACAGTTCTGTTATTTTAATGTTGGTACCATATTAAGCACTCCAAGTTTTATTTGCTTTCTATCAGAGACGTGCAGTCAGGGGAGGCAGAGCCTCACCACTGTCATCGTGAAAAGAAAAAAAAATGTAAAAGGAAAAAGGCTGAGCTAGTTGCTGCCAGAGTCACCGTGGATGAAGCTGCTTAGTGTTTAACTGTTTAAAAAAAGTGCCCTCTACAGGAGGAGACGGGAGAACGAGGTGCCTCATCTAGTCTGACTTGATGATCACTCGAATGATTTTTTAATTACTAAAAGCACAAGGCAGTTGGC